ATAAGGGAGAGGAAAAAATATGAGAAACTGAAAAAATGGAAATAAAGTGTTTGTAAATGGGGAGGGGAGGAGGGTGTGAAGGGAGGGCAGGGACAAGGGGAAAAAATGAGAATCAAGACCTGTTATGTAAAGGTACAGAACCCCAATGATGAATGTAACTGTACTGTATACCTAGATTGTACCAATAACCTCAATAAAAAGAAAAAAAAATTCCACTTTTTAAAAACGTACTTAATCCCATCGTTCTTGTCACTTTCTGAAGCCGTTCTGGAAGTGTCTTTTACCACAGTGAGTTTTTAAAAATTCAAACACATTTTTAAAAATCACATCTAGTATTATTCTTTGCAATTCAGCCAGTGCCTCACATTCTACCTTTAATGTATTAGCTGGACAGCAAATATTTATTAAGTCCATTAGCATTTAGTGAACTGCACAAACTAAGTTGCTCAACTAACAGGAAAGCTGGAGACCTGACCGGCTTTCGCTTTGCGGAAGTCACTGTCACTCTGCTACGGTGAGGGACAGGTCTCAGGCCAACCTCATACGCGATGCCCCGCTCCCGTACACTGTAAATCCTCTCCAGGTTGCTTCAAACCCAGTAGGGTACAAAGGTTGGGTAAACAGGCATTGTACTGCAGTCCTTCAGGCCTCATGATAGCAGCCAGAAGAAAATCCTTGAGTTGCCGAAACTCTGAAACAGGGAAAACATCTATTGATTCTTTTTGCTTTGCTTTGCTTTTGGTACCTGGGATCAAAATCGAGACCTTGTGCTTGCGAGGCAGGTGGCAGAACCACTGAGCTAAATCCCCAGCCCTCTACTGATTCTTGATAACCTACAAAATAGCATACAAAGAAAACAGTCATTTATCAAACTTGTGAAAGATCATAAGAGAGGTCAGGATTTTAACTAGTACCGTAATTCAAAGCTAAAGTGTTCTCTTAGCTCGCGTGATCTTTGCCAAAAGACTGAGAAGTGATAAGATGTACTAAGCTCAAACAAAAGATTATTCTGTCAGACAGATCATCACAGATAATCATTGGCAAATGGATGGGCATCTTCACTTTTCATTTGTACCTACCTGAAGTCCATTGCTTTAGAGATGACCTATTTATAACCATTAAAAAAAAAAAAAAAAAACTAGTTTAAAATGGCAAAAAAAAACCACCCAAAATGGCCAAGTCGTATGTACTTGCTACTTGGGAGGCTAAGGCAGGAAAATTGAAAGTTTGAGACCATCCCTGTCTCTCTCTCTCTCTCTCTTTTTTTTTTTTTTTTTTTTTTTTTTGGTACCAGGGGTTGAACTCCTGACTTCGTGCTTGCCAGGCTGGCACTGTGCCACTGAGCTAAATCCTTGGCCCAAGAACTTGTTTCAAAATAAAAAATAAGGGCAGGAAGTGTAGCTCAGTGGTAGAGCACAGATGTGCTTAGCGTATGCAAGGACATGGGTTTATTGCAGATAGGTGAGTTAATTACATAGCTTGTAGGACATTAGACAGGGTCAGCCCACGAGGAGCCAACATGGAGGGCAATGAAGACATTCACTGGAGGGCAGCACTGTCAAAGGAGAGCAACTGCTGTACCCTTGTGCTTCCCCGGGGATGGGGAGCAGTGATTGACATTCTAAATAGGTATCCATCACCTGGGGCGGGGCCGAGGACTCAGCCCAACCTTTCCAGGAAACATCCCTGAGCCCCACCTCACTGAAAATCCTCCCACACTTGCTACAACTTGCTCCCCGTTTGAAACCCCCTTAATCAGTATTACCTGGGTGACTGCACTTGTAACCTGGCTGGTTGGTTATGATTTTGCCCCACCTCATAAATTTCCACTGGGTCTTATAGTTTTGTCCCACTTTGTACCCGCCTCACCGCATGGCTTTGCTGCATTAAACATCTTTGAAAAGTGAGGTGGGCGGGACACTTCTGGTCCCCCTTCTGTCTAAGGCAGAAGCTTGCTTTCTCCCAATAAATTTTTCCTACTCTTAACAACTGTTGTTCCTAGAATTCATTCTTCGATTTTAGAGAACACGAACTCGTGTTTCAGATACCTAGCCGGTTTGGAAGTCACATCTCTTCCCCCTATATCAGGTTCAATCCCCAGTGCCACCAACATTTTTTAAAACTGTTTTTTTAAAATAAGCTTTAATATGTATATA